TCATACTCGATATAGCTAGCTAACTCAATAAAAGTGGTACGGATAGCTAGCTATCACAAGCCGATATTGCCCGATAACATATTTTTATAGCTAGATAATCTCAAAGGCATTTTTTTGCTTGGGAATTGGTTTAACTGTATCCCTGCATCGTCACCTGTAGTACCAATAATTGTTCGACCTTCAGTTGCATTTTCTAACCATTGCATAACACGAGAATTCCCGAAATCAGCAATATATAATGTATTACTATCTTGTTCATCAACAAAAACAGCTACTGGATAATCGAATTGATTTAAATTACTACCAATACCATAACCACCAGCAACTATAATACCTTGTTCAGATTCTTTTAACCATTTAACAATAGAATTATCTGAATTATCAGCAATATAAATTGATAATTGTTTATCAATATAAAATCCACCAGGCCCTTCCATATGAAAAATAAAAGAATAATTAGTAGTGCTAACGATGAGCTAAAAAATGTAAAACTATCTTACTTTCCATTTCAATGAACAATGTACACGGTTGTAAGTTAAAAAACTCCAGGTAGGAAGCAGCTAGAGACCTTCGGTTTTAACATTCGAAAGAGAATAATATTTTTTATATAAAAATGTCAAAAGTTGATTGGTCAACAATTGCTCCAAAAGACCTAGAAATATAGGTAATCAACCATGCTGACTCGAGTGGTGATATTTATTTTCAGTTTCGAAGCGAATTAGCTCGCTAAATTAAACTTTTTTGAAATATCGAGTCAATATGCCGCATAGCACGACATAGCGTCCGAATATAAAAATTTCAGGAAGATTCAATTTAACGATTTCAACATGTCAAGCGAAAACTCATCTGATTAGTCAATTTTGTCGACCAATCAGCTTTTGACATTTCTGTATTAGAAATATTATTCTCTGTCGAATGTTGAAAACCGCAGGTCACTAAATGCTTCCTATCTGGAGTTATTGAACTTATAACCGAGTACATTGTTCACAGAAATGGATAGTATAGTAATTGTCTTTTTTTAAGACTTTGTAGATCCAGTCTCTGTACCTGTAACGCATATGTCAATATAGCACTAAAGAAGGATGGGAACGAAAATTCCAGTCCTAATACTTACTCTTTTGAGGAGGTTATACATGTTATGCAACAGCGGACGATGGATTTTTCATAGTCAAAATTTTGATAGTGGTTTTTTCTCCACACGACCAACAGATAGTGTCAAACAACCCATATATTGTTGTTCGGCTTCATGTGTTCTATTGACCCATAAACAAAATTTGTTTTAGTAAAAATTCTTTGTTTCAAAGTTATTTACTATTCTGAGTTGTATAGGTGCCCAATGGGCTGGAACCGGTCCTGGAAACCGAAACCGGACCGGACCGGTAGAAACTTTTGAAAAGCTTCTCTTTTAACCCTATTTATGGCTATAAATGCTCCTGATAAATGGCTCCTGAGAAAGGAAAATGAGCAAAATACATGAGAATAATGATTACTGTAATATTAATTTGTCACGTACGATTTGTTTTTGTTCACAGCCCAATGAAGCACAGTGTGCTACCATGCAGATATTTTCGAAAGTGCGCTTTTTCAAGATTCAGATAGTGCCAAATATAGTTTGATTTACGCGTAATTTTATGGCTTTGCTTGTTACAAGGTGCGATATTCTCGGAAATTTTTGAGTTTCCCATACTTTCCCAGTCTCCAAAATGCATGAAAATTCCGGAAATATTCGTCGACATACGCTGCATCTATGGTGTATGCGATTGTATTCATTATTCATGTGCGTAAATTTTCACTACTTACTTATACTTCTCATCATATCTCTTCTATAGCTTTTCAAGAAAAACACTTTTAATTAGGGAGAAAAGGAAGAAGGTAACAGCAGAGAGAGGTCGTGTAGAGCTGGGAGATGCCGCGTTTTAATCACATATTTATGGACTACAATTACGCCTCATTAAGAAAGCTTTTGGATGTTGTTTAGGGTTTTTCAAAAACTGGTTTTTCAGAAAACCGATCTTTGAAGGTCTAGCAGCAGCATTCATGGTGATATTCAGAATCAGCAACGTCGACTACCTATAGTCCACTCGATTTCATTGAAAAAGCGATTTATCAGTTGGGGTACTTCTCTCGTGAGTGTAATACTGTTTTCAGCACAACAGAAAAATTTTGAGAAAAATTGAATTTTAAGTTTTTGATAATTTAAAATTCTTAAACTTGATTTATCTCGAAATTTTTTCGTTACACTAAAAGATGTATCACACTCAGTAGACCGTTTGGCACCTAAAGAAAAGTTTTGTCAGCAAAAGGTTTTGCCGATCATGTTTCGTTGAGCCCGCTCTCCCTTAATCGGCAGAAAGCGAACAAACTGATATGTGCAGAATGAAACAAATTTTCCTTTTCTATTATTAGTTTTTATTATTTATGTAACGCGGGACCGCTTACGCCCGTAGCGTCTGGGTACAAGTAGAAAAAGAAAATCTAGTAAACATATTGGAAGGACAGAGACTAGTAACAGTAAGAACAGTATAAATAGAAAGAAAAAATACATGATTTATGAATTTAAAACACTATACATGCGAACATAAATTTAATATAATCGATGACCCAAATTAACTACTTTCTTTTCACATTTAATAAACAATGGAAAAAGAACGTTATCTAACAATACATTCATACACTTATGAACACAGTAAAACAGCATTTCAGAAAATGTGTGTACATTCTGTTTTTGAATATTTACAAGATTATTTGTTAGATTAAAACCATGAGAACGAGACAAATTGTGGATTTTGTACTGTCGAAAGACTTTACGTGTCTCAAACGAGGAAAAAACCGATACGACTTGAGGAAGAAATTGCAGAGAAAAGAAGAATTTAAGAAGCCTTATATGCGCCAAATCCTTCCAATGAGGCAGTTGTAGGACACTGAATTCGGCGTTGGACATCTGGTAGGTACCCTTGTCACTATTAGTGTGAAATTTTGTGTCTCGATAGCCGTTTTTTGTCTTTGAGATCATTATCAGTGGATGATCCTTTTTCATTATCTCAATTATTCCCATTATCGTTATTGTAACGGGTAACGGAAATCCATTACTCTTATTACTTCTGGAAAAGTAACGTGTGAATTATTTTTTTGGTTAAGTTTCGATCCTCGTCAGCGGCATAAATTTTTTCTTTAATTTGTTTTGCGCGCGACTCTCCGTAATTAATTATTAACCGGCGGCGGCTAATTAGTGTCAAAGCACTAAATGGACTATGAGGATTCTGAATATCTTCTTTCTCAAGTATCTCTTTCTTTTCTAGTTGTTTCTGTTCTTATGTGTAAAAATTTTAGTTTGGGTTATCTGTTTACACAAAATATTTATTCATGGACTTATAGGCAAAAGAAAATAAAAAAATTCTTCTTAGATGGCAGGCATCTGCACGGCAGAAGAAACACAACATTCACTCTGATGAGATGCTGTTCGTTGAGACTGGCTGGCAAACTAACTCACCAACGCAAACTATCTTAGTTCAAAAAATTTATCGATATATAGTTTTCTATCACTTTTCGGAAACATGGATCTTCCTTAAGAACGGAAATGTTTTTAAACGTTTAACTGATGGAAGGCTGGAATTTTCTGTGATTATAATTGACATCTAGCACTATCCCAGAAAAAATTCTTAGCCTTTCATACTGTATTTTGAATTTTTGACTGAGTTATAGAATTTTTACTTTTCTCAATAAACCTGTCCTCATTTCAAGATGGAATTGCTGATTCCGAATATCACCATGAATGCTGCTGCTAGACCTTCAAAGATCGGTTTTCTGAAATTAACAATGTTACAAATGTTAAGTAACAATAATTATCATGACTGTCTATCACTGCAGCAAAAACGCATCTATTTGACAAAATTCTGCGAAATCTATGAGAGTGGTGAGAATATTCTTGCATAATTCTATTATATTTCACAAAATTCTGCTTTAATTGGTAAAATTCTGAAAATGTTTTGCAAAATTCTACGAGGTGTGTTGGTGAATTATACTAATTGATTGGAAATGAGTTTGTGCTGCGTTGAGGATAAAGTTTCACCATTGCACAGTCCTCATAATTATGATGAAAGAAAAGTTCAGACCAAAGACTTTTTCGTTTAATTTGTCACTTTTGTTAATTAGAAGACGAGAAGATTAGAAAAGTAAGTTATTAGTTTTTATGAAACTGTAG